AAAAGGGGGCTTAAACATGAGCCCTGGGGGAGACCCATGTAACTAAATCGAGAAGCTGTAGATGAGAAAAACTCATATGTTTCTCTGACAGCAAATTGTACAAAAAGTTATTTATTAATGGAGAAAGGCCACAAGCGTGGAGTTTGTCTGAAAGGACTTCAACCGATACTGAATCAAAAGCCCCCTTGATATCCAAGAAGACAGAAGCCATTTGCTCTTTATTAGCAAAAGCCAACTGAATTTCAGTGGAAAGCAACGCGAGACAGTCGTTCGTTCCCTTGCCCCTACGGAATCCAAATTGAGTATCTGAGAGTAGGTGGTTCGTCTCAACCCATTTGTCCAAGCGAAAAAGGATCATTTTCTCCAACAATTTTCGAATACACGATAACATCGCAATGGGACGATACGAGTTGTGATCTGACGCGGGTTTTCCAGGCTTTTTAATAGCTATAACTCTCACCCGCCTCCAATCATCCGGAACAATATTAAGCTCCAAGAACTGACCAAACAAGTTCAACATGCGCCTCTTAGCGACGTCTGGGAGGTTCTTCAACAAGTTGAACTTGATTCTATCAGCCCCCGGAGCCGAATTGCCACACGAAAGGAGCGCGAGTGAGAGCTCCAGCATTGAAAAAGGCTGGCTGATCTCGTCTACCGAATTCGTCGTTTCGCGAGGAATCATCTGTGCCGGCACAGAATCAGGACATACTTTTCGCGCGAACTTGAGAATCCAACTATCCGAGTACTCCTCGCTCTCGTTGTTTGAAGACCGGTTACGCATCCTTCGCGCCGCATTCCAAAGCGTATTCATCGACGTTTCGCGTGATAATCCAGTATCCGCGTTTCTTGGCTTTGATGAGGCTCTTGAGTTCGCGTTCAAGAGCCGAGTACGCTTCGAAATGTACGGGTGTTCCACGTTTCCGGAAAAAGCTTAAACGCGTCGGACTTTTTACGATAAACCTCAGTGCATTGCTGGTCCCACCAAGGGGAAGGAGGTTTCCTACGGAAAGACGTTCCTGGAACCGGCTGAGTTTGAGCTTGAAGCGCGCTGTCCAAGATCAGATTGGAGAGGAAGTTATATTCCTCCAACGGTGGAAGCCCTTCTACCGACGTTAGGGCATCTTCTATCACATACTTGAACTTTGTCCAATCGATATTACGGGTAAGATCGTACGCGACGTTAACGGGTTCCGACGGATTGAACCCACTGGCAACTGAAACTTTGATCGGCAAGTGATCACTACCGTGGGGATCTTGGATCACATTCCACGTGCAATCCAACGATAATGAGTTAGAGCAAAGTGTGAGGTCTAATCTACTTCCATTCGAGGATGGGCCAGCCAAACGTGTTACTTCTCCATTGTTAAGAATTGTCATATTAAAGCTGTCGCAGAGGTCATATATCAAAGTAGAACGGTTGTCATCATACAGTTCTCCCCAGCCTGTACCGTGGGAATTCAAATCTCCCATAATCAACCGTGGAGCAGGAAGTACTGAACATATATCTGAAAGTTGTTTTCGATTAACAACGGCTCTAGGAGGAATATAAACAGAAGCAATACAAAGGCTCTTACCTTTAATAATAGCCTGACATGCGACAACTTCAATACCTGTAAATTGTGGAAGATTCACTCTATAGAAAGAATGGCACTTTTTGATCCCCAAAAGTACCCCTCCTCCACGCGAATCCTCACGATCCAGTCGAATAATGTTAAAATCATAAAAAGGAAGATCTATATCTGAAGAGAGCCAAGTTTCACAAAGAGCAAATTTGCATTTATGCATCACAATCATTATTGTGAACTAAAAACTTAAAAGAATCTAATTTAGGAATGAGACTTCGACAATTCCACTGTAGAACAGTGATCAAATCCCCGACCTCGTTTGTAAAATTATCCATCGAAGGAAATGATTGCTGCAATGAGGGGCCACTTCAATGTCAATTGCTTCAAGAGGGTCTTCAAAGAAGGAAGCATTGCCAGAACAATGCTTTTGAGAGGATCAGAAATATTGAGGTACTTGAGAATATCGTCCACAATTTTATCAAATGAGAACAACCCGGATGAAGAAGGGGCTTCTGTTCTTAAAAATGGGCCATCAGGGGTTTTTGATGTCCCCGGGAGAGATGGAAAATTCTGGTTATAGTCAGTTCTGCGGAAACCAGGAGGATTTGAAACTTCCTTTTTTCCATCACTCCTTGATTTGGGCAAGCTGATTTGGGGTTCCTTATCTGCAACTTTCCGCGAACGGATGCGTTTTCGTTTCCGTGCAGAACCTTCCGGAAAACTGAAAGAAACTCCCTCCTCAGCCAAGTCAGAGTCAGACTCGTCATCAGACAAAACAGCAAAGGGATTTTTGTCGCTGGTTGATGGTGTGGCTGTTTTTAGCATTGCTGCAAAAGACTGCCTGGAACGCTCCTTAAGAGAGCGTTCTAGTTTCTCCCCGCGTTGTTTGTACGCCGGGCACGATGAGAGACCATGAGGAGTTCCCTTACAGTACACGCATTTTGGTGCAGTGACTGTGCAGGCGCCATCCTGGTGCTTCTCCCCGCATTTGGAACAGCGTGCCTTGCTGCCACAGTGAGAGGCCGTATGTCCCAACTGTTTGCAGTTTTGGCAGTTCATGACCCGAGGAACAAACAAACGCACAGGTAGCCGAAGTTTTCCCAACTCGATGTAGTGAGGAAGGGCTGAACCAGAAAAGGTCACCCGAAACGAGTCTGTGGGGGTAAAGCTCTTTTTACCCTCGCTGAAAGATACTGAGTTCAGCTTCTGGACTTCCAGTATCTCAACCGTGGGAAGCAAGGGGTTCTTGAAACGGCCAACCGCTTGCTTCGCCAAGATCTCGGGGGTCAGACTCGCTTCGGTGACCACACCTTCGATCTCCACATTACGAGCTGGGATGTACACTCTATACTCGAGTGTAAAGAGCTGGGAGGCAGCAATCTCGTTAGCTTGTTTCAGGTTAGAGACGACAACGCGAAGTTTATTGTACCTCACCTTCGATATTTCGGTCACGGCCGAGCACCGCTTCGTCAGATCATTAGTAATTTGCATTACATTCAAAGGTTTCTTTTTGGGCTGAAAGTAAACAACCCATGGGCCAGTCGAGTCTTCTGGGTAGGCTCGCGATCGGGGGCTTATCTGTCCCTGTCCATTACCAGACTGAGATGACGAAGCAGGGATGGCATCATCTGATTTCTGGGATGACAGACGTTTTCGACCCTTCTTGCTATCGCGTGGCAAAGTGGTGTCATCTTCCGACAAAACGTCCATTTCGTCTTCCGACAAAATGTCCATTTTGCCGTACTAGTGGGAGCGAAAAACGCTCTACCACTGCAACGATAATCAAAATTACTCGAACACAATACACGAGAAAAAAAAATACAAACACAGAAACACAAACTTAAAATTTAACTGATGGGAGAAAGAAAGAAACAAGAAACAAAAACTTATCTGATAATCCTATACTACTATCACCGAGCGTTTACACAGCAGCAGCGGAGCGACGCGCAGCTTTGATGATCTTCGATCCGCGTGTGCGGGCGGTCTTCGTTGGTGTGTGCTTGTATGAAGCTCGGCACTCAGCTGAACACACGAGATGGATGAGCGGTTTGAATGTGGAGGCAGATGCTGACACTCGATGACGATGATCCGTGTGCACAGGTATGCGTGACCACGCACCGATGGTGCGCAAAATGGTTGGCGAATTGGCAATCGCAAAAACAATTTTCCTTCCGATGATGCCGAAAACACACTTTCTTTTCAGAAAAAAACTCACTTTTTGATAAATTTATCGGGAATTATGCCAGGAATCACTAAGCGAGAAAAAACTGATTATTTACGTCAGATAATAGCGAGAAAACTTCCAAATTAACGGAGCGCGAAACAAGTCGACCGTTCTTCTTGCTAGGACGCAGTGAGGTGAAATTTATTATATAAAATAGACGATTAAATTGAAAACACATAAAAGACAGTACAAGTTGATTACGTGAAAAGATGTATTGAAGCAGGATTCAAGAACTTGGAAATTCCATTGTCAGTTTTTCTCCTTCACCATTCGATTCATGCTCATGCTTTCCTTCATCATTCGACCCTGCTGGAACAACAGCACAGTACGAGCTTAATAATTACTTCAAAGGTATTCTTTTTTCGTCGACACATCAAACGCGTTCGTAGTCACCCAGCGGCAGGCAGGATATATGAAAACTGTGTGAGTGGGTGTTGAGTGTCTGCCTCGAAGTTATTGCATCAAGTCAACAATTTATTGCATTTTTGTGAGTTCACCCAGAAAGCAATTGATCCCCTAGGCAGCCACCCTAGCTCATGTGGTGATGGAAGTAATTAAACTAGTGCATACATTTTCCGTTTTTTTTTTATATTGCAAATCAGTTTCCCTAGTGCATAGGCAACGGCAAGTGGACACAAAGTTGCAGTTGGGAAGAATGCTGTATTGGGCTTCATTACAAAAATGCTGGGTTTGTCGCTACCACAAGATGTGACTAACCGTAAGGAACCAAGCAGTTTCGTAATTTTTTGAATCTATGTATAGATTTTTTTTTTAATTAATCCCAAATTTCCATCCTGCCACGCATTGCCAAAACCTCAATTATTTCCCAGTAACCTCCCTGCAGGTCACACCATCAGTGTGCATTCAAACTGCCGGAGTCTGCAAATCCCCCGTGAAACCCAGCAACCATGTACCGCATCATGTTTTCCACGAAAATCCGCTCCAACGACCGTGCAATGCAAATTCCCGGAAGCTTTCATCCGTTCACCTCAAAGTGGCAAGATTTTTGAACCACCCACGCCACCCGCACTCACAATTTTCCTCCAAGTTCGTTCACTCCGTACCTGCAACCGAAATTTCACACTCCCACCAAATCTCACAATCAACTCTCGGGAGCATCAACCTGGAAGCAAACAACGTGCATTCGTCCATTCGGCATCCGCACCGAACGTCGCCGGGGAAAAGCTCACTCGCTTTAAATTATAAATTACCTCAAAATCCTCGTGCTCGCCTCGTGATGTGTCGCCTGTTCCTTTATGTTTAATTTATGTCCATCTGGCTGGCGGAGGACGATCATCGCATGCAGCCCGCTCGGTGGCGTCCGATGATTAATATAATATTTACATGTTAAATTGCGTGGATAAATGCCGGGATAGTTGGGCGATCGTATTCGGCAGGTCCTGGGGGTGGCAAAGAGACATTGGGAGAAAAGAACAAAGAGATACTGTCAGTCGGTGCGTGTGAGAATATTTAGTGTGACCGTTTGGTGATTTCCTGGAGCCAGGACGGTGGAATGGGAATCGATTTTTCATTAGAATGGACTTTGGAGCTGTTTGGTGAGCCTAGGAGGGGAGCAAGGATAATGTGTGTGACACTTCGTGCTATTTTGAATGGTGAGAGAATGGAACACTGCATCAGAAAGGAGGTATTTAAAGGATTGTTAACTGAATTTCCTTTGGTCAGTTAGGGAGTAGCGCGCGCTTCAATAGCGCAACATTTACCATTTTAGCTGAAAATCTCTATAGTAAATTAAATTAGCATTAAAGAAACTAAAACTGCCATTTTCACGCAGTGCTGCCCCATCATCTAACTCCCTTATCGGTTCCGGTGCGTTTTGATGGGTAACGAAGTTGGTTAATTTATTGAGGACCATCAGAGCAGACCCCGTCGTTGATACGAATAAACGAGCGTGGCCAGACCAAACCGATCGGCTCAGCTCTGTCCGGAGCTGCGAGGAAGCTTTCTCCGTGCAAAATAACAACAGCCTACAGAGCCGACCACTACTGCACGCACCATCATTGTTTGGCGGTTGCTGACAAATCTAGTTCGACACTCATCAGTTCGCTCGATGCACTATCATTGTTGCACTATTGGGGAACCTGTCCGGGGAAATGGAAGACCGGTGGTGATGAATTGTATCGACCGACCCGACGAACGATGCTCATGATGATGGTTGATGTTTGTGCCATAGACGACCACACCATCAGAGTGCATCAGCAACAACAACAGTGGCCTCTCGTGGTTCACCACTGCTGATTTGGCATTTAGAACGATAAATTGTTCGGTTCTGGGAATGTTCCAAGCTGAAAGTTCATCAGGAGCAAGGGGCTTCGAAATGGAGTAATTATTTATCTAACAAGGCTCACCATTCCGCAAAGGGATTGGACCTCCCACACAGCGGCGAGATTCACTCGTCGTTTAACGTTCTGATTATTCGATGTAACCATCAACGTGGGGGGGGATCACCATCGGAGAAGGGGAGAAGGCGGGATTGTAACTATGTAGATGGATGAATGGCAGGATCGATGGATGAGTTGGGATGGAAACCGACTTACCGTTTGTCGCAGTCATAAAAATTTCTGTTGCAGTACGATCCAGGAACCAGGTCACCATTCCATATTCTGTTGTCGTACCTGCAAGAGAGCGAAAGTTGGAGGTTGTAGTGATATTTTTTTGATGCGGTGAACTGGAAAATGCTTTTCAAAACGATTGCAAATTGATTGATTCCCTCCGACGTCAACAGAGGTACATCTTAACAAGTTTGGTATTTTTATTGACTTACACGAAATTCAACGCTACGGAATTTTAACGTTACATACCAATCATTTTACCATATTTATCTCAATAAAAAATAATGGCAGTAATCGAAAAAAAAACACATATTCACACTTCCCCTATACAACACGAAAAAATCACATAGTTCTCGTTGCTAAAAAAAAACACGACAAATATGGAATGGGGTATTAAATTTACGTTATTGCATTCCCATTCCCATTACGAATCAGTGTATTTGTATGTTCGTGATTTTTTTTTTTTTGCGCTCCCTCTATTGCAACTACAATTCAATAATGCTGGAATCAACGTTTCCGACCTCGAGCATCAATGAAAGCTCACTCCGCGAAGGGATTGTTATTGGTTGCAACTCTGTCCTTTTTTGTCTCTCATCCTGTAGGTACCTTTTTTTTGCAACTCCCGGACTGGGTTCGGAATCAGTTTCATCCCACCATCGGTTATTGATTCGATGTGGAATTTTATAATGCTGTTTTCATGATAACATTGTGGCACACTGTCGGGAAACATGGAGCTTTTGTGTGTGTTTTTTTTTGTAATAGTGGGATGATAGTAGGTGCAGTTTGATGAGCAAGCTAATTAAGAGAGATTATTAAATATCAATGCACTTTCATCGCTCTTGTTTGTAGTTCATGCGGTGTGACTAATGATATTTGCATAGGAACGGTGATGATTTCAGCAACTTTAATGTTCAATATTTAGCTGTCAGGAAAATGGAGGATTCTTTTACAGTTTTGTTTTAAAGATGTGAGAGCACGCCAACTAACGAAACGACTTTATTTTAGTATCTAAGAATTTCATCATTTAAATATAAGTTTAATCATATATATATATATACTCAACTCTCCATAGCTTGATATTGAAGGGAACCAACGAATTATTTAATAAATTTATTTGTTGTCGTACTTAATTTTATGGATGATCCCGTATGAATAGGTCCGGGCAAATCACAAGTTTTACTTGTGGGGGAATATAAACTAAAACATTAAAAATTAGTTTTGCAACACTTCCACTTATAAATAACTAATTTTACACGTAACGAAATCTATCTTTGACTTGAAAAATCAGACATAAACAAATACGTCATGTAAAATTAAGTGCTTCGAGACTGAAAAGTTCGTTACTCGACGAAAAGTACGTTTGAAGGGAAAAGTTCGCAAGGCATAGTGAATTTTCACGAACTTTTTCATCTCTCATTTCAATTAATAACATTGGTAATAATTTAATTGAGTAGGATCCAAGCAACTGATTTTAGGATTTTGATAAAATCTGAGTAAATCATCGAGAGGAAAAACACAAAAGTAATAGTTCTTATAAAAAAAAGTTCTGTTTTTCAATAGTTTCTGCTTATTCAAATATAACATGGCAAAACAGGAAACCCAAATTGATACGAAAATGCCTAACTTTTTTGAATCTAAACCCAGTTTTCTCATCAATCAGTGATTCTAAAAATCAAACTAAACAGATGGATTCAAGAAGGTCTATGCAACAAAATCCAAGCCTAATATTCAAAGGAAGAAGCCAAAATCTATCTTGACTGAACGGAAAAATCAAATTTAAGAAAAAATACGTACTTGAAACCAATTTAAACCTGGCTTTGTGTGTGCTTAAAAAAGTCATCATCACGAATGAATTCAGCAAGGTCCATCCTATGAAATTCAAGCATAACTTTCAAAGGACGGTATGAAAATATAACTTAGCATAAAAGGAAATTCAAATTAAAAAAAATATAACTTTCGAATTACAAACGCAGTTCAACATATGGATTCAGTAAGGTCTGAGATGGACGAGGCCTTAATGGATATTTTTATTTTTATTGGTCTCAGTTTCTGCACTGCTCAATTGAACAGTAATTGCTAGTTTGAATTGGAGTTCAAATCATAATTCATTAATCAACGTCACATTTCCTAACATGACAATAGTTTTAAGATATAATTGTGACTTATCCATGTGGAGCTGATATAAGATTTACGTAGTGATAAGTGAATATTAATCACTTTCTTCTCCTTGGCAACTAGAGCTTTTGACTGTATAGTTAATCTGCTTTATTGTGCTCTACATACTTTAAGCACAATCCTATTATATACAATCTTATTTTTTTTCCCTTGATTTTTTTTCATTCGATCTTTTTGTCCGTGCTTAACACCAATGCTACCGACGCTAGGGAGGCTGCTCTCACACCTAAACCCTACCTATCAACCCATCAACAACTCATGAACCGGGGACCGACGGCTTTACTTCCCTTCCAACGGGAGGCGTGATCAGAGATGTTATGCCTCAGAAAATCCCGGTGGCACCGACTGGGATTGAAATCAGGCCTTTTGGGGGTGAGAGGCAATCACGCTTACCACTACACTACCTGCGCCGCTATCAGGATTGTAGGATTTCAAGATTTTTAAAATAGAAAAATTCTTTACAAAGCAAACTTTAGTCATTTTTCATGATTCTAAACATAGAACAAACTCCTTCTGAACTATGAATTTGCTCAATGAAGATTTACGTAAATCCGCACTGAGACCATAATACGGAAATTTTATAGATTTTTTTTAAACAGATTTCGTCAGACAGATTCAGATTAATTTTTTTTTTGCGATGAAAATACTCGCGCCTATCATTTTTGATCGATTCTCTTCATCGATTTTCTCTTTCGCGAATAACCCGACTGCAAATGAATTTCCCATTCAGTGTGTTGATTCAGGCGTTATATAAGTCTGGCGGATAGAATTTCGATCTATCAAAAAGCGGAACCAATTCAATATATTGTAGACCCACAATTGAAAACATACTATCAAGCATTATAAACAAAACGTTGATTATTCTTTCCTAGCCAAATTACCGGCATCATCGAAGCCCAAAGATGGTGTTAGTTTGCGTAGGCGGTCCTTAAGTCACGAAAAATGGGTTCCGGAAGTTTTGTTCGCAATAGCTAATGTACTCTTTTCTGTTCTTGGTCGTGATTTGCTCAATTGGTTCTGCTGTTTGACAGCTCAATTGGGTCCCGAGATTCTCTCCACCAGAATATGAATATAGCGACTAAAAAGCTAACATCATCTTCTGTCGAACTGTCCTGCGAGAAATTCGTTTATGTTGCCGTGGTAAATCAAAGATAAAGTCGATGAAGAGAATCGATCAACGAGGATAGGCCCTTTTCAAATGTTACGCGAGATCAGAATTAAATTTGAAAAATGTGGCATCACTGCCTAAGGCACCCCCATTAGCTACGCCAACGATCGGCCAAAGAGTTTCCAGATTTCTTTCACGATGTACCAGTTTTAATAGCGATTGTAAGAATGAGGGTGATGTATAGACCAAGATTTAAAGCGCGAGTTACACTATCCTTCTTGTGAACATATTGACATGTGTAACGTCCGCTTTAGATGTATGGATGATGAGATGTACACTCAAAATAATCTACAAGCTCTTAATTTTTCCTCTCCTCTCAGTTTTACGTGACTCCCGTAGAATGTATGTGAAGTCCCTTGAATTTCACATGGAGTTCCTTTTTAACACACCTACATAATCAATGAAATGTATGTGATTTTTCCATAACACTTAGTCTATGTGCGTTTCACGTAAAGCTTATGTGATTCCCACATATAAAAAAGAGTGGAAAGTACACTCAGAGCGCTGCAAATCATGGCGGGATCATAATGTGCTTTTGTTTGGTATTCGGTAGTGGCAAGATGTAAACATGATGGATTATTTTATTCTCTTTAACAAAAATAAACTGTCTGTTTCATCGTGCTCAACAGAATGATGTCAAGCTGTCCATCAGTTTCTTCCTCTAGGGAAAAAAGTATCTCGGACCATCTCCATAATAAACAGTATCAAAATTTTGATACTAGAATCGTCCAATGAATGTCACTGACCAAATCACGTAACTTCTATGTGATAATACAGTGACGGTTAAGCTTCATGAAATGAGTGCCTCTATATGAAAATAACGTAGCTCTTACGTGAAAAGTACGATGGAAAAAATCTACGTATGTTTTCACGTAACATTTACGTGTAAATTATTCTGAGTGTATGGGCAAAAACAGCGCAGGGTGCAAGCTATTTCTAAACAACCCAAATTTGAGTAGGATCAACTCATATCCACCAAAATTGAGTAACCAAAGTTGGGACTGACAAGATTACGAATGAACAACATCGACCTGAATCCGAATGTTAATTTGTTATCTTGTGAGTCACAATCTTGTTTGCTGAATATTAGGTAGCCCTACTTCTAATAGAAATGAGTAGATCTTACTAAATTTTGGATGTTTAGAAATAACGTGTTCAGAAAGATGTTAAGACTCGCTGTACACGGCCAACGAGATCTAGCCAAATTTGATTTTCCTTTACTCATCGCAAAAATTGCAGAAATTCAGCAATGAGTAAATTTGTTTCATATTTTCCAGCTTTTCCGCGCTTTTCAAGGTGAAAATTGTAGAATATGATAACAGTAACGATTGGATTTTTTCGCTCTATTGGTACTACTAGTAGATTAATAAAAATTTTCGTAAATTTTCCTCATTTTCCAGCAGATTATTGAGGGTTTTATTTGGGTTGTTCTCATCGGCCGTGCACAAATTTGAAGGGACAAAATCCAAATGGACTTGTCGGAATACGTAAGTTCCATGATTTTGCGTACGATTACTAAACATTAAGCCTTCCCCTGACTCAAAAAAAAAGTTATCCAACACGCAGGTTTCAACCAAATTGATCGGATAAGCCATCTCGAAAAAAGCTTGCCTAGATGAAACGCATCCACAGACGCACATACAGACATCAGCAAATTTCATCTCGCTGGATCTATTTTTCATATTCAATTTGATTCTACGATGTCGTAATCAAACTATCG